GCCCCTTCCCTTCCCCTTCCTCATCTTTGTGTACTCTAAAAACTTAATAACATTTATTTTAAAAAAGAAAAAAAGAAAAGTACCGAGCCCTGTGGCACCCCACTGGACACCTCCCTCCATTCAGATGAAATGCCATTGACAACTACTCCCTGAGTGCGGTTTTCCAACAAGTTCCTTATCTGCCTAACCATCCTAGAGCCCAATCCACAGTCCTCTAGTTTACCCATCAGAACATCATGGGGAACCTTGTCAGAAGCCTTATTGAAATCCAGCTAAACAACATCAACAGCATTCCCTCGATCCAGTAAGCTCGTCACTCTATCAAAGAAGGAAAGGAAGTTGGTCTGGCAGGACCTATTGGTAATAAAGCCGTGCTGACTTCCCTGGATCACCAAGTTGTCCTTTAGATGCTCGCAGATTGATCACTTTAAAATCTGCTCCGGTATCTTCCCTGGGACAGAGGTCAGACTGACTGGTCCATAGTTTCCTGGGTCATCCCTCCTCCCTTTTTTGAAAACTGGGATAACATCTGCCCTCCTCCAGTCTTGTGGCACATCTCCCATCCTCCAAGAGGTCTGGAAGATGATGGACAAAGGTTCTGCAAGCTCTCTAGAAAGTTCTTGGAGGACATTTGGGTGCATACCATCTGGCCCAGGGGATTTATACTCATAGAATGCAGCCAGGTGCTTCTCAACTACATCTCTGTCCATGTCAACCAGCAACCCAAACACCGTGCCTTGCCTACTACCATCTCTAGATGGGCCTGTTCTCTTCTTCAGGGGGAAAAGCTGAGGCAAAATAGGCACCGAGCCTTTCTGCTTTCTCTCTGTCCTCTGTTTCTCCATTTTCACCCAACAGTGGGACCATCGCCTCTTTCATCTTGCACTTGCTCCTCACATATCTGAAGAAGGTTTTCTTGTTGTAGCAGGCCTCCCTGGTCAGCTTTAGCTCACTGTGAGCTTTGGTCTCTCAGATGGCTGACCCTACAGTGCCTAGCAACCCTCAGTTACTCTTCTTTAGAGGTATGTCCTTGCCTCCATTTTTTGAACATTTCCTTTTTCTCCCTTAGCACATCACACAGTTCTCTGTTCATCCACATTGGCTTCTTGGATTCCCTACCATGTTTCCTTCTTGTTGGAATAGCAATGTCTTGAGCTTGCAAGAGCTCTTGTTTTAGGAGAGCCCACCCGTCACTTGCTCCCTTCCCTTCCAGCAGTCTTGCCCATGGAATGATTCTCATCAAGCCTCTGAGTTTATTAAAGTCTGCCCTACTGAAATCTAACATATACATGTAGCTACGAACTTCCTTGGTCCCTCACAGCAAAAGGAATTCTAGCAGGACATGGTCACTTTCCCCTAAGGTCCCCACCACTTTCACCCCATTTACCATCTTTTGTTTGTTGGTCAATATTAAGTCAAGTATGGCTGAGTCCCTCATAGCTTCCTCCACCATTTGATGAAAGATGTTGTCAGCCAGACAGTTCAGGAATGTGTGTGACCGTGGACGCTTTGCAGAGTTTGTCTCCCAGCACACATCAGGGAAGTTGAAGTCGCCCATAACTACCAGGTCATGTTGTTTGGATACCCTGTCAAGCTGTTCAAGGAGGGCAGCATCCACCTCCACGTCCTGGCCAGGAGGTCTGTAGCAGACTCCAGCCACAATACAGTTTTGTCCTCCCTACCCCTATCCTCACCCAGATTTATTTATTTATTTCATTAAATTTATAGCCCTCCCACCCCACATTTTAGGTTCAGGGCGGGTACCAACATACAAGTATCTGCAATTAATGCAGATTTACAAATTTAAAACATATTACAATAATCAATTTATAAAATCTATAAAATCATCATCCTTTCCACTGGGGGCTGTCACCCTCCTCCTCCAATATTTCCTGACAAACAAACCCTCTCCTCACATACAGCCCCACTCTGCCTCCTCTTCGACCCTTTTGGTTTTTCTTGAACAGCTTGTATCCATCCACCCCTACATTCCACTCTCTGACTATAAGAGCATACCCAACATGTGATTGTTGGACTGCAGCAAGGAAGCCACAGGGGCCCTCCATCTGCAAGACCCCAGCAAAGCTGTTAACAAGAGGACGTTTTGGAGGACATGAATTCATGGGGTTGCCATAAGTCAGAAGCGATTTGACAGCACTTCACACACACACACACACACACACACACACACACACACACACACAGAGGAGCATCCTCCTTTTAAAGAGACAGCAACCTATACACACATATGTGGTCAGAGCAAATATTATTGTGACCAGCTATACCAAGGTCCAAGATTTGATCTAGCACCTTACAAGAGTGTCCAGGTTCTTAAAAATAAGCAGGAATAGGTTTATAGTTAAGGATATATTAAGAAAAAAATAGCAAAGGGAATTAGCAAATTGAATACAGTTTGAAATAAACGCACACTAAATAAATGTTCTAAAAACCCTAACTCCTACTAAATCCTAACTTAAGCAAATGTTAGTCATCTAAAGAGAAACTGGGGAGGGGGAGAAGAACTGGATTTATACCCCATGGCCCTTCACTTGGAGTCTCAGAGCGGCTGACAATCTCCTTCCCTTCCTCTCCCTACAACAGACACCCCGTGAGGTAGGTAGGGCTGAGAGAGCTCTGAGAGAACTGCTCTTGAGAGAACAGCTCTGAAAGAACTGTGACTGACCCTAAGGTCACCCGTCTGGCTGCATGTGGAGGAGAGGTGGGGAATGAAATTCAGTTCTCCAGATTAGAGTCCGCCGCTTTTCACCATGACACCAACTGGAGAAAGATATACAAGCCTGTCCTGGTGAGTGAAGTCCACTAGATTTTGTCGAAGGCTTTCATGGCCAGAGTTCATTAGTTGTTGTAGATTTTCTGGGCTGTATGGCCGTGGTCTTGGTCAAGACCACAGCCATACAGCCTGGAAAATGTACAACAACAAATCCACTCTATTTTGCCAGAGGAAGGAGAAAGGGGCGCGGGAGAGGCTGAGGTGGAGGAGTTGAGCACCATCTTCCCGGGCTCCTGCGTTGGGAAGCAGGGCTGATGCAGACTCGCACGCACGTTCCCCACATGGGGGTTTTGGAGCCAGTTGCTGGAGCCCAGTATCCAAATGGGAAACAATGGCTGGCACAAAGAGCCAGCATTCTTGGGGCTAATTTTACACTCCCAAACTGTGAAGACAGAGAAAGAAATAAGATGCTTCTCAAAACAGCCTGGGTTGGAGCCATGGGTTTTAAACCTCGTTGGGAGGTCAGTGAGATAACTGTGTCATGGGAAAGATACCTGTCAAGAAAGGGGGAAACCTGGGACCCTGATATCTTTCCGGATGAAGTTTATGGCCCAAACAGAATAACCAACCATTTGGTTGGGCTGAATTCCAGGGGAAAACATAATGAAGGAAATAAATATATAAAATTTGGAAACTGATAAGCCAGATCTGAATCCAGTAGCAACTTAAAGACCAACAGGGTGTTCAGGGTATGATTTATCTGAGAAAGAAGAAGATGATGATGTAGAAGAGAAGAAGAGATTGGATTTGTACCCCTTGTCCTTCACTACCCGAAGGAGTCTCAGAGCGACTTACAGACTCCTTTCCCTTCCCCTCCCCCCACAACAGACACCCTGTGAGGTAGGCGGGGCTGAGAGAAACTACCCTTGAGAGAACAGCTCTGAGAGAAGTTGTGACTGACCCAAGGTCGCCCAGCTGGCTTCATATGGAAGAGTGGGGAATCACACCCGGTTCTCCCAGATTAAAGAGAAGAAGAGATTGGATTCATGCCCCATGGCCCTTCACTACCCGAAGGAGTCTCAGAGCGGCTCACAGACTCCTTTCCCTTCCCCTCCCCACAATAGACAGACACCCTGGGAGGTAGGCGGGGCTGAGAGAGATCTTGACAGAGACGGCTCTTTTTCGAGAACAGCTCTTGTCAGAACTATGGCAGGCCCAAGGTCATCCCAGCCAGGTGCGAGTGGAGGAGGAGTGGGGGAACCAGACCCGGCTCTCCCGGATGAGAGTCCGCCTGCACTCAACCCCTGCACCAAAGAAAGGGGAGCTCTGATCCTCAGACGCTTCTACCCCGAAGATCTTGCTGGCCTATAAGGTGCGACTGGGCCGGACTTGGCTCTTGCTGTTCTGCTGCAGGCCAACTCGAAACAGACGGATGCGTTGTTTGTTTGTTTATTAGGCTGAGGTGTCATTCATAACTCACGGACAGACAGTGTCCGGGTTTGTGGAATGCTGAATGACACTGTTATCACTTTTGGAGGGGGGGAGGGGGGGAGGAGAGGGAGGTCGCTTGCCCCCTGCCTTGTCCCAAGCACGGTGGCCATCGCCTGACTGTCGCCGTGTCTTTGAAGCAGAGCGTGTGCGGCACTGCCCCGCGTTTCCCTTCTGCTTCCAGATTAGAGAAATACGTCCCCACCTATTATCCCAAACTCTGGGAGAGGCCAAATTAAGGAATAAAATTAAAAAAGATGCACAACCCTTCCTAGAGGATTGGTGAAGAGATCCCAGCTATGATGTACTCATGGGTTCATCCAAGAGCCTCCAGACTCAACCCCAGGACTGGAGGAGGGCCAGAGCGGAAGGAGACATCGTATAGCTGCTTAAACGTTCACAGCGCCTTGGGTTGGCTGGCAGTCCAGGGACTCCAGGAAGACATTGACACACCCCTCCCTCCCTCCCTCCCATAATTTACTCAACTAGTTTGGGGTCCAAAGCACCAAATCCCCCTATTATCAGGTGAGCTTTTATTTCATGTAGCCCTTTTGCTGGGTGAGCATATGAAGTTGCCTTATACTGAACCAGACCCTCCTGGGTCCATCAAGGTCAGGACTGTCCCCTCAGACTGGCAGAGGGGCTCTCCTGGGATGTCTCAGGCTGAGATCTTTCACATCAGCTGATGCCTGATCCTTTAACAGCCACCCTCCCCCCCTAGAACAATGCCAAAACTGATGTGAGGGGAAGGCAACACTTCAGACCATCCCAGTAGTGGTACCTGTCCTGGGGTGTTGCCATCATCAGCATAAAGTCGGGGGTCTGCTCCATGCTGGAGAAGAATTTCCACTGCTGCCAGGTGGCCTCCGAATGCGGCACGATACAGCGGCGTCCGGTTAAAGGCACCCTTAAAAATAAAAGGAGCTGACGATTAATTGGGGGCTACACAGGGAAAACCCACTCCACACTTCCAGTGATGCAGTGACATCTCAGTCATTATGGTTCGGACAGATAACGGCAATGACAGGGGAAATGGCTCAGTGGTTGTGCCAGTACAGGCACGCTCAGTGGGAGGCAAGTTTCGTAAGAGGGTAAGCAGGTTACCTAGTATCAGCGCTGGCCTCTACTCCTCACAAGGCAAGGAAGGAAAGGACAGATGGGAGAAGCAATCGAAAGCTTATGTTATTTATATACCAAGATATGCTGTCTTGGGTGTGCCAATGGGATGCGTCAATTTCCAAATCCACCAGTTATTATGGGTACATAAGAACATAAGAGACACCAATGTTCGATCAGGCCAAAGGCCCATCCAGTCCAACACTCTGTCACACAGTGGCCAGAAATACCAGGGGCCATCAGGAGGTCCACCAGTGGGGTCAGGACATTAGAAGCCCTCCCACTGTTGACCCCCCCAAGCACCAAGAAGACAGAGCATCACTTGCCCCACAGTCCCTATCTATACCTGGTGGCTAATAGGGGCCACTTATGGACCTCTGTTCCATGTGCTTATCTAATTCCCTCTTGTAGCCGTCCATGCTTGTAGCCGCCAGCACTTCCTGTGGCAGTGAATTCCACCTGTTCATAACTCTTTGGGTGAGGAAGGACTTCCTCTTATCCGTTCTAACCCGACCGCTCAGCAATTTCATGGAGTGCCCACAAGGAGTTCTTGTATTGTGAGAAAGGGAGAAAAGTACCTCTTTCTCTACCTGCTCTTTCCCATGCATAATCTTATAAACCTCAATCATGTCACCCCTCAGTTGTCGTTTCTCCAAGCTAAAGTTAGGGGGCGTGTCCCACAAAGAGGACAGGAAGTGAAGTTTTGTTCCTGCCTCCCTAAGGATAGGGTGGGAAACACCCAGCAAGATGTCCTCATTCATCTCAGAGGAGATGAATGTATAGAATGCTTCTTCTTCCTCTCCCATAATACTAGAATTGGGGGCAACTAATACTCAAGTGGTTAAGATGCTGAACTGCAGACCGGAAGGTTGGTAGTTCAGCAGTTCAAGACCCGAGTGTGCCGCATGACGGAGTGAGCTCCCGTCTCTAGTTCCAGCTCCTGCCAACCTAGCAGTCCGAAAGCAAGACATTGCAAGTAGATAAATAGGTACCACTTCGGTGGGAAGGTAACAGCGTTCCGTGCGCCTTGGTGTTTAGTCATGCCGGCCACATGACCACAGAAATGTCTTGACAGCGCTGGCTCTTCAGCTTGAAAACGGAGATGAGCACCACATCCCTAGAGTTGGATTCAACTGGCTTTCGAGAAACGGAAACCTTTACCTTACCTTTACTAATAAAGTCGTTCGGAAATAGTTTCAGAGCAGACTAAAGAAACTACTTCTTTACTCATTGAGTAATTAAACTGTGGAATGCAGTCCCAGTGGAGGCAGCGATGGCCACGAGGAGAGACAGATTCAGGAGAGAAGGCCCATCGAGGGCTACCGGCCACGGCGAGCTGCTGTGTGAAAAAGTATCCTAGACTGGATGGACCACTAGTCTGACCCAGCAGGCTCTGCTCACAGTATTATGTGGTTTCTTTAATGCACAATTATTATTCAGTGTTTAATTCTTGTGGCCCTTTCTTACACACCCAGGGAAATGCCAATCGCCACTTTGGGGTCAGGAAGCAATTTTTCTCCAGGCCAGTTTGGCCCTGGGGATCCTGGAGGTTTTTTGGCCATCTTCTCTGCATGGAGCAAGGGTCACTGGGGGTGTGGAGGTATTTGTGTATTTCCAGCATTGTGCAGCAGGGGGTTGGAGAAAGAAGAAGAAGAGGAAGAAGAAGAGGAGGAGGAGGAGGAGATTGGATTTATACCCCGCCCTTCATTGGGAGTCTCAGAGCGGCTTACAAACTCCTTTCCCTTCCCCTCCCCACAACAGACACCCTGTGAGGTGGGTGGGGCTGAGAGAACTCTGACACAAACTGCTCTTTTTCAAGGACAGCTGTGCCAGGTGCAAGTGGAGGAGTGGGGAATCAAACCTGGTTCTCCCAGATTAGAGTCCGCACAGATCCCTTCCAACACTATGGGCCTGTAAGACGGAGCTCTTCTGCCACTATTAAACATCATTAACAACCAAGAGCTGAAGAACAGAAAGCCCTGTTGCCTCTGGAATTCTTAATAACAGCCTGTGCCAGCCACCTGAAAGACACCTGAAGAAGATCTAGGAGCCGGCTATGGGTAGAGAGAATTGAGTATGGTAGCCAGCGTTGATTCAATGATAATCAGTAACAACAATACTAGGACTTATTATGTTGTTAACTGGTTTTAGCATTGTTTTAAATGTTTTAATTGTCTTATTGTAACTTACATGCTGATTTTATGTAAGCCGCCCTTAGCCGGCCTTGGCTGGGTGGTCGGGCTAGAAATTTGATTATATAATAAATAAATTCTAAGATTTTTTAAAAATATACTGTCTCAGTAGAATGAAATGCTCCTCTTTCTTTCACCCCTCCCAGTCTATTCGTATGAAGTCCAACTAGTGTAGGAAATATCTTACTGTTACAGGTATTATTGTGATGTGATTGGACTTTACAGTTGGCGAGCAGAAAGCAGCCCCTGGCTGTTTAGGCACGAGCGCATGACAAATCTTTTTTGTAATTACTGTTTCAATATGAAAACAACACTAAAAATCAAATCAAACCATTAAAAGGGTTGTCCCTTCCACTCTCCTGGAGCACAAACAGTGCCGCTTCCTTCTAGCCATTCCCACGGCACATCTCTGATGTCACGCAAACACTGCTGTGCATATAAATGCAACCAGAGTGGGAAAATTCAGCTGCTGCACTTAAAAATACCCTCTGTTGTACAAGCCAACTTTTCTTTCAATATACTGTGAATGTCTGTACAGTTTAACAACACAACCACCACCGGGAGCGGCGGCTGAAGGAGGACAGGGGATCAGAAGGGATGGCAGCTTGAGACCTGGTGGAACTGTCTGCCAAATGACATCCGTGCCCTGCGGGACTGAATGCAGTTCCACAGGGCCTCCTGTAAGGCAGGCTTTTGGTTGAGGACTGTGATGGTCTCCACCTTGCCTGGCACTCTGTTTCTGGTCTCCCTCCCCCCCCCCCCACGGGACAGTGGTGCAACTGCTGTATTTAATTTTATTGTTCTTAATGGATTGATTTATGGATGTGCTTTTATTGTTGTACACTGCCCTGAGCTCAGTTCTGCAGGGGAGGGCAGTCTAGAAGCCTAATTTATAAATAAATAAATAAGGCTCATATGGCCTACTCAGGAACAAGGATATGGTCCTCTCAGCTCTCCCTGGGAGGCCACCTCCCTCCGTGGCCCCTTTCACCTCTGCCTCCTGCACGTTTTGCCTCACAGCTCTCCTTCCCACTCAGGGGATGGGCAGGGACTTCAGCAGCACAGAAGAAACAGGTCAGTTCTTCTGTCCACCGAAAGCTACTGATGCTCATCTATCACTGACAGATGTCAAAGGACTTAATCCCCCCCCCCCAACAGTCTCTGACGAATTACCCACAACACAGGAGACAGCCTGTGGTGGGCAGAGTGTCCAAGTAGGAGCCGGGACAAGAAAAGTTCAAATCCCCACTCTGACGTGGAAGCTCACTGGGTGACCTCACTTGGGCCCCTCATAACCTCTCAGCCTAACCTTCCTCGCAAAGTTGTTGTTCTGGCGACAGAGTGGAGGACGGTAGAATTATGTGATCAGCTGCTTTGGGTCCCAAAAGTGGGGCATACACAATTTAAAAAAAAAAACTTTACAGCCCCAGCAATTACACTGTGAACAGATGAAAAACAGTTTACCCAGAGAATTGTGGAATGCTGGCCATCTCAGGAAAACTACTAAAGAGCACAAAAACATTTTTACAAACCTGAGGTAAGAGGATCCACCTGTGACTTAGCACTCTCTTCCTGGTTTTTGGACAATCTGAGCCCTCCCTGGCCTAAGGAGGGTCAGAAATGGGAAGCCCCTTCAAGATACGCAGACTAGGTAGATAAATCCTTAAAATATTTAATAGAAGATATACAAGAATTTGGTAGAGTAGCGGGTCTAAAAATAAACCTTCATAAGACTAAGATACTAGTTAAAAATTGCCCAACCAATTTGATACAAAAGATTAAAGAAATCACGAAGATGGATGTGGTTCAGAAAGTGAAATATTTAGGAATTTGGATTACAAATTGTACATCCACCTTATCTGAAAATCTCTCCTATATTATAAAGCAGTAAGACGCAAACTTCACGCAATGCGCCCTTACAGTGTTTGGACGGCTCGGCTGTCCGTCAGCAGCTTGCCCACGTCCCATTGGCCACGTCGTCGGAGTCCCACCTTGGACGCAGCTTCACGCGGCCTGCAGAGGATCTTCCCGGGGGCTGGAGGCGATGGGCGGCAGGCCGCACAGGGCACCGAGGCGACCGCCGTGTGGAGGAGAGCCGAGAGGCGC